AGTAACCCAAGGTTATAAGTAACCTAGATATAATTAGTTAAGAATTACCTTGTTCATTGGAATCAGAAGTCATAGTTAGATAACATGAAATACTTTCCGCGAACACAAAATCTCCATTAAAAAACTCTACTCGCATTGAGATTTAACTCTTGTAATTAGTTTAGACCTTTTCGTCGCCGCCTCATGGCAAATCACGTTTTTTTTGCAAATCACGTTTTTTTTTTTTTTTTAAATTTAATTTTTATAGAACTCTATATTGATTCCTTTCACAGGGATGAGTTTGGTAAAAAAAACCGGAAAATACAAATTCAAAAGCGTCATGTGCAAAAGCACTTTTTAAATAATTAAAAAAATACCTGAAATTTGAGCAAGAAAAAAGTGCATGTAGACATTTATCCACAGAATGTCAACATTTTAATAAAAATATCGATGCCTGATTTTATTTATCTATTTATTTAAATTGTGTGAATATGAATCCCAATGTTTGATTTTTAAATCATACGAATACTAATCTCGACATTAAATTTTAAAATCGAATTAATACGAATCTCGATATTTGATTTTAAGAACGAATTCCGTTGTATAATTTTTAAGTCGCTTGCACACGGATCATAATGGTGGCTTTTAAATGAAGTGAATATAAAACTCGATATTTGATTTTTGAGAGAAAAAAAAACCTTTAAAAATACAAAACACGATGCGCGATCTGTGGTTTTAAATCACGTGAATATAATTTTAGATCGCGTTTGCATTCATAGAAAAAAATGTAAAAATAAATCTTGATTTTTTTCTTCATTTTTAGTAAGGGAAGTAAAAAAATTTCCTAGATGGTGACCAATTTTTCGGGTATAATTATTAACGTATATTCACCTATGTAAAAGACGTTTTTTCTCGCTGAACGTCGAAGTATTTCGGATTTTCGCGTTATCTTAAGTTCTCTTAAAAGGCAAGTAGTTTCTTCTGAAACTTACGTTTTTCAGTTTTGTTCTCACGATTTTTGTTACAAAAATAATTAAAATCAATTTCAAAAAATCCGAATAATAATCCCAATTTAAGGATTGTGTCTCTTAAATGTGAAATAGTTAGGTTGACGTGACAATATTTGAAAAAAACGCGTACATTGACAAATTTTATCCTCCCTATCGAAATGATGTTCTTCAAAATGAAAGTGCACCATTAAATACGGAAAACGTTTACTTACACACTTTCAATTGGTTTTTGACATCAAGAGCTTTTGTGTTTTAAGAATCGTATTACTCGTTTAAAATGTCAAAAACAAGTATCCAGCAAAGTATTAGTCGTACGTGATAACTCACGTGATACAGATATAAAATAACAATTTCAGCAAATTCGCAAATATTTGAAATTTAATCTTGTGATACGTATTTGATGTTCAAATAATTTTCATTGGTAAAAAGGATTTGCATGATAGACATTAACAACAAAGAATTTTCAACAGCGGTCATTTTTTATGTGTTCGTTTTTTGTTTTCAGTTTTATTCATTTTAATCAAGCTTCAATCATTTTGTTGTTGTATTGCTATTTGATTTTTTTTTTTCCAACTTCCAAATTTATTATTTGCGATTTGTTTAACACTATTAAAAAATTTATCAATCAATTCGAGCCATTATTTTAAACTTCAAAGTTTAATAATGTAATTCTAATTGTAATCTGTAATTCTTAAATATTTTATCAATAATAGTGCATTTCTATTTATATCTTGAAACTGCATGTTTTATTGTTTCAAATTATAACACAACTAGGAGGCTCCGCCCCCTGCTCGCTAACGCTCGCCAACCCCCGAGAATTGCTACGCAATCCTATGTGGTTCACGCCGTGAACCATGGCTCGCTGCGCTCGCTCGCCAATGAACACAATGTTGTAGCACAAAGACATAATATATTATCATCAAAGACGTAGTATTTTATCATCAAAGACATAGTATTTTATCATCAAAGACATAGTATTGTACTTATGTAGAAGAATTCTACCAATGTTCATATTGGCTTTTAAAAAAGTATATTAGCTATTTAGATTGTACATGGTGAAAAAATCAAAACATTAGCTGAATAAGAAACATATTAGCAAAATAAATTATCAAATATTGCTTCACTAATATTCTGCATTTTAAAGCGTGAAAATTCAATGCATAAATAAACGCGAAATATAAAAAAAATTCAATGCATTCAATACAAACACTTAAACGTTTTTTAGACGTTTAGGTAGCTCCCAGTAGAAAAATATCAATTCAACAGCGGCCTTTTAAAGCATTCTCACTTCAATTAATTAATTAATTCCTAATTGAATTTAAATTAAATATTGTCATGTTTTTAGTGCATGAATCTGAATTGAACAACCTGATAATGCTCACTCTGGTTATTGTTATCTGGTTGCTCACAACGTGCTCTTGCGCGCCGAATCCAATCAATTAAAAATGAAAACTGTTGCCAGCGCGAGAAAAGAAATATCATCGGTTTTATTGATACATACATACATACGTACGTATTAGCGTTTTATATAATATAGATTGTTCTTCAATAACAATTATTCAAATAGTATTCCAAATAGTACTTCATACCGGAAAAACTTCGTAGTTAATTCCTTTTTTTTTAAATTTATTGATAATAAAATTATTTTTTAAAGTTCCGCAAAGCTTAGTATGATTTCTGTATTTTCATTGAAAATAAGAACTTAAATTTTATTAGAGACGGTATTTTTATAAACAGTGCAATTCCCGTTGCTGTTATTTATTTTTAAAAAAATTACGCGAATTTAATCATAGTACGGTTAATAATATTCACATGAATTGAAGTACATAATAATTGAAAAATTAAGTCTTAATAAAAAAACAAAAAAAAAACTTTTAAATCAATATTTTTGTGTCGAAATCATAAAAAAGGACAACGGACTTAAAAAACAAACTTTCTTTGTATTTATTATACTAGAAACATAATTATTTTGGTGAGACAGCTTTACATATACAAACTAACATGCATACTGAGTTTTGTAAAAATTATTTAAGGAGGTATAAGTTTTTATGAAACTTTATGGAGATATTTATTAAAACGCTCTTTAAACAATTGTATTGAAAAATGCATCTTCCACTACATTTAAAAAATAATAATAATTCCATTTTTAAAGCTTAAGAACGCAGCTTAATTAGAGCCTAATTTTAAAATGAAATATTTTTTAAATGCAATCTACGAACAAAAAAAGTAATAAAAATAATATTTTGACGAAGTCCAATTTTTTATTTTTTACAGTTGTGGTTTTAGATATTATAATTCTTTCTTAATATATTGTTGTATTAATAGTGAATGTAATTCCCTCTCTTCCTATTATTTATTTATTAAATCTACATTGAGGAAAAAGTATGGTCAAACTACCAGAATATGGTAAAATTTATCGTGTTTCCGGCTCTGTGGGAACACCGAAAAGCTCCGTAATTTTTACCGAATCACTTTGATAATGACTTAATAGCAATAAACTGTAGCAACTGATAGCAATAAACTGTAACTGTAGCAACAAATTTGTAACTTAACAATAAAATTATTTTTGTAACATGTAATAGTAAATCTAAAATTTGGTAGTAAATATAATAACATTGATAGTAAATAGAGTAAAATTTGGTAATTTAATCATACCTCAGAACAGGGGTCGGAAACGGAAGAGGCAAAAGTTACAAATTACAAAATTTCCCAGTTTTTAAAGAGCCATTAAAATTTTTCGATGTAATATTATAGTGTTTGCTTATATATTTTTGATTTAAAATAAACAGCTTTAAATACGGAATAATATTTATTTATATAAAAACACAAATATAGATGGTTACATCAATGGGAGCATTGGCTTTGCATGCCTTTCGAAAGTTTAATAAAATCAGTCTTATAACTTGTTGTTTTAAGTTTCAAGCGCGACTCTAGATTTTTATTTACTGCTCCCCATGTCTTCAACAAAAAGAAGTCATTTTTTCCCCGAACTAAACTACTTCAAGCAAGGCGTAGGCTGGGTAGCCCTTTCTTTTGCAGTTTTTAGATTTAGTTCATTTAATTTCCTTGTGGTATCTACCATGAAGTTGAATTTTTTAAGTCATTTGTCTTCTTCAAATTCGGGATGCTCTATGCTCTTTTCATTGATGAATGTTTTTATTTCACTCAAGCACAAAGCAAAACGTTGCAATACTTTACCTCTGGAAAGCCTTCGCACATTATTGTGCAGAAGTAGGTCAGAAAACTGGCTATCTATTTCTTCAAGGAACTCTTTAAACTGGCAATGGTCGAGTGGTTTGGCCCAAGATGCTGTTTAAAATCTTAATTACCAACTTCGTGAACTCAACTATTTCGGCCGGAAATGTTTGGGCACAAAGCGCTTCTTGAAGAATTTATGCAGTGAAACGTTAGAATTTCATGGGGGGGGGGTTTTCTTCCTGAAAAATTTATGTTACCCCTCTATGTATTCCTGACATACTTCTGGCTCCATCAGTTGCTATAGAAACGATTTTATTTATATCAATTCCATTGTCTTCTAGACATTTTTGCACAGCATTTGCTATAACTTCTCCACGAGTTTGCCCTGGGAGCGGTAGCAATCCTAGAAGCTCTTCTTTTGAACCTTGGGATGACATATATCTGGAACTGGAGAACCGAAACTTTGAGGGAACCATGCTCTAAGGCATTCGCCTTCTAATGATGTGAACCGGGTTCGAATCCCTGCGATGGCTGGTCGATTCGAATTCCGCATCCGTGTATGCGTAAAATATTCTCTGTGGTAGGTGGATCATGGGTTAGAGTCCGTTTGCCGTCAGGCTAATCGTGAGAGGTTTTCGTGGTAGAAGTTCCCTTGTCTTCTGGATTGGGTTCGAATTTACAAGGCTACGTAACTGAATCGTAGGTACGATTAGTTGACATCGTAGCCGACCCAAAAAATTGGGTCGGCTGTTCAACGACGGTTATAAAATAAAATATAAAATGCTTTTACTTAACATATAATTTTTATTTTAGGTAAGTGAAGCTGCAAATGCTATTACCCCATTCATGCTATTACCCCATTTGTGTGAAGACAAGTTATGATGCTGCTTATAAATGAAATCGTCACGCGAGATGGTGAGATGAAATTAATAATTTTATTATAAACTTTTTATTGTGTTTTAAATTTCAATTATTACTTTAAATATTGGTTTATTGTATTTATTTTTTAATTATTTAGTAAAGAGATCGGTTTAAGGTATCTGACTAGTGCTACATCATGATTTTGGGCGAAGTTTTCAAATTGAGTTTAATTGAGTTAATAGATATAGAATTACTGTAGTGGTAGCTTTTTAAAAATACTTTACTTTTGTTTGTACTCCAATTATTTACGAAGTTGTAGTAGTTTTTGTGCAAGGTGAAAACATTGGATAGACTTGTGATTTTAAATCTTTAAATGCGTTTATCTCAAACTCAGGTTTTTTTTTTTTTCCATTTTACACCATCTTAAACATAGTATTTCATGTTGTATTTTAAATAATTGTCTACAATTTTTCATCAGTTTTGATTATAATACACGTGTATTGAACTACAGACTAAGAGAAAAAAGTAGAAATTCATTTTTTATGCATGTTTTTTCGCAAAGACGCGAGCGGAAATTTTTAAAAATTTGCTTTTTTTACTACATTGATCTCTAACTCAGTTGTATATGCACTTGCTTTTAAGATAGTAAGTAGTTCAAAACATAATTAATAGCCATTTAGATAAAATCCTCAAATCAGTTTTTGCTTATATGCAAAAAAAATTCCTTATTTTTACCTAAAATTGATGATTTAAAAAAAAAAAATTATATTAATTTTTTTTATAGTTTTATACGTTTTTTCACGCAATAAAACTTATAAACTAGTTTTTTATAATAATATTTTTAAAAGAAAGTTGTCAAAACTAGTAGCATACTTTAAATAAACGTCTTGTTTCCATAAAATGAGATATGAAGGCGTTACAAAAAGTATAGATAAACTGATATCCCTACTCTTAACTTATTTTGAAACCGTTAATTATAAATTATTAATTACAAAATAGCATTTAATTTTTATAACTTTAAATTTGCTTCAAAGTTTAGTAACGATTTAAAACGAAAGGTACCGAATACTTTAAATTTGGTGATGATATTTTGATATAAATAAAAAAGGCTTTCGGAAACAGTTATCTGAATTCTTTCGTACATTACTTTGCTATCTCTATTTTTTGTGTCTATATAATTTTAATAAAAGTAATTATCCATTATAAACTTAGAATTCCTGAAATTATGAAACTTATTTAAGATTTCCCTTATCAATTAATTATTGATTTTAATTTCTAAACAAATAGTGTAAATAATTATATGCACTATTTGAATGCACTAAAAAGAAGATACTGATTGAGTTTATTGTATTGTAAGACGTTATTTATATATTATTGCAAGGTTTGATACCTGTTTCTCCAAAATACCCGTTCCGGCCTATCTCTAAAACTCATAAACCAAACTATGTTATGAAAAGATAAACTCCATCTTTTGAAAGTGATATCATCTACAGAAGTCTTATTTTAACAGGAAACGCCACTCGATAAACATTAACTTCCGGTGAAACTCTTTAGTTTGTTTTGAAACTTCATTTCTTTCATGAGCATATCTTTTTTTTTGTTTTCGCTCTTTATAAGGGAGTGGGAAAGAGATAGGCTGTTGTTCGCGTTTTCCCATTCAAAAGAATTATACATATTGATTATTAATAATATTGTTTTTTTATATTTTTGTTGTTATTTTTCCTCGTACCGTTGCAATAGATTGCTGGTGTATTCGTCCGAGCAGGATTCGAATTTAATGCATGGCATGTCTTATTTTACTTACCACAAATAAATAAAATATATATTTAATCATTACATGGTATAAATTTCGTTGGTCGCATTTTAAAAATTTCTTTTTTTCTATTTTTTAGAGATTGTTAGATTTCTTTGAAAATATTTTTGGAGACAATTAGTTTTTTTTAAAAATATTTTTAGAGATTATTAAATTTTTTTGAAAACGTAATTTAGAGATTATTAGATTATTTTCTTAGATGTTTTTAGCGATTATTAAATTTCTTAGTAAATATTTTTAAATATTATTAGATTCAAGGTTTCTCCTCCACCCCTTGCTAAAGCAGATCTTGAGTTGACATTTCTGTAAATGTTGTAAAAAGTATCTGCATTTTGATCGAAAGGTAAAAACATCGTCGCAAAAGAAGGAAAAACATTTTTAAAGGATTCAAGATATCGTGAGAGAAAATCTAAAATATTCTGAATATTTTGACTTCCATCTTTTTTGCACTTACCACCGACATGACTCACCGAGCACTTTTCATAGATGGAACATTTTTTGCGCGCGTATGAAAATATCAGTTTAGTGGATTCGAAATACTGGAAAATATTTTGCTTTGAAACTTTCCTCTTTGCAACTTTTTATCCGGGAGTATGAGCATCCAGAAAATGCTGAATTTTTGAAAATGAAACGTGACATATACACACGTTCGGGAATATAGAACAAAAATACTCAACAATCATTACAATTCTGGGAATAGCTTTACCACCTTATCATTCAAATAGGCAATTTCAATTTTTTTTTAAAGCTAACATTTACAAGAAATAGATTTCCAAAAATCGATATATTGAACTGCGTTACGGTTTTCATATCCATTATGTTTCTAAATTTTTAACATATCTTTTGCCACATAGCTTGGAAGTGAGGCAATTTTTATGATGATAGATGAAAAATGGCAAATATAATATTTTATTTATAGATTTAAAATGTTTTAAGCATGTTAATGGTCGGTTTTGTTCTCATTTTAAAAAGCGAGTAGTTAATATTTGAAACCAGTATATTACACATAATGAATGCAACAAGAAACATTTATTTGCTCTGGAAAGTATTCGCATTTGGTTTTATTCAAAATATACGTGGACATTTTAATTTTTTTTTTTACCCATTGGAAAAATGGGTGTTGTTTTGGGTTTGATGGCGTGCGCACCTTATTTGGACGTCATCACACTTTTCAACTATGTTCAAGATTAATAGTGACCAGTGCGCATGCTTCATCGTTGCATGCTTTGCTATAGCGAACGCTGCCCGTTTGATAATTTTTTTAGAATTCTTTCTTTTTTATAATTATTTTTTCATAATTCTTTTTTTTTGTTTATTATGCTTTAAGTTAGTGAGTTTATTTTTGAGATATGGGACAAGAGAGATCCCATAAATACTTCTTGAGTTGTGAATAAAAGAGAATTTCATCATTTGCACGATATTTTTGTTTTCATTGTTTCAATTTCAATTCTAATTCAGGTGAATGTCAGGTAATTTTCAATACTAATTGAGGTGAATATCACTAATAAAGAGGGTCCCAAACTGATTGACACGGTCCCAAAGGTTAGAGTTGAAGCAAGAAAAAAAAACGATGCCAAGGCCAAGCTTACCGAGGCTGAAAAAGCTTAAGCTAAAGAACTTTAGACAACAACCATTTTGATAATGGGTAACCTGTGATCGCCTTTTAAAATTGATTTTGTTTAATTGATTTTTTTTTTGATTGATTGAAAATTAACGAAATTTTTGAACCACTTTTACGTTAGCATAATTAATTTTAAGGTTTTTATTATTATTTATATCATTATATTTTTTACTGAACTTCAATCAAATATAAAATTATTTTGAAATAAATATGCTTGTCCAACTTTCCATTTGCACATCCTACAATGTAAAACTGCTCTTTTTTTTTTCTTTTTTTTTTAAAGAATCAGATGCTAATTCTAAAAAAATATTAATTCAAAATACAAAAGTCTACTTCTATATGTTTGCGATGCGATGTAAAAATGTTCTCTTTGAAAAATGACTGAGAATTGAAATAAACTTAAAATAACTGAAACCTTGTTCAATTAATTCAAAATACAAATACAAATTCCATTTCTATTCCACAAACATTTTTACGTTGTGAAAATATGCATACTTTTTATTCTATGCAACAAAAATTTTTCTTTATTCTTTAATATTCAATTATTTTGCACTACAATTGTTACGATCATATTAGCTCGCCATTGTATATACAAAGATGGTTTTTGAATTTTCTGCACGGAGAAAAAAATTCTGGTAAAATTACTGTACTGTATAGTAATGACATTTCTGGCGGGGAGGGGGAAACATAGTTTTAGTAATTAAAAACCAAAATATGCGTTATTTAAAATTATTCATTTGGTAATATTTTCGTTCATATGGTGACTGTTTACCGTAAATCCGATTTTTCGGCATAATAGTTCTTATTGCCACACATTTAGTTAATACATAACAGAAAAGTAAATTTTCTCGAATAAATGGATTTTATGCAATGCTCTAAGTTACCATGATAAAATTACCAAATTTTGCCACATTTACCAACTTTTATCGCATAAGACCTTATAAGACCCTAATTTATTTTTAGTTTTACCAAAGTATTTTCTCAAAGTAATTCTACCAAAACGCTTCGGTAAAAATTACCGAGCTTTTTAGAGCTCCCATAGTGCCACAATGCAGCAAATTTTACCATATTCTGGTAGTTTGGATGATACTTTTTTGAACTATAGTTATAGTGTGTCTAACTATATTTAAGTTTATAGTTGGGGAGATATAAATTTATACTAAAAGTATATGAAAGTTTCACTAATGGATGCCTAAGTTATTAAGGAGTTATAAATATGTCCCCATTTAATAAGCATTAATGCGTCACTAACTGAAAGCTTTTGATTGGAAGAAACTAAAATGTATAGCCATACAAAAAGCAAAAGAAAGTATCACTAATTGAAACCCAAGTTTTTAATTGGAGAGATATAAATAAATCTTCATATTGAAAGCATAAGTGTATCACCCATTTAAATTTTTTATCGGAGAGATTTTTAAATGTATCATTAACTTAAAACTTTCACCTGGCGAGATTTGGAGTTCGTAAATTTGACTCGGTAATTGCATAAAAGTAAAAACATAAAACAGAATTATTAGCTACAGTATTTCGACCTTGTTAAAGAATGATTTTACCTGGAAAAAATCCTTAGATTAAGTCTATTTCTGTAATCGGTCTCCGTTCCGTGCCCTCTGGGTTAAA